GCAGAGAATAATGAATGCAATTATTATCCTTTCTTTGAGCAGTACAAAATAATACTAAATATGCTTCTTTCTGTCATATTCTATCATATAAGCCAAGCTGACCAGTCCCGGTCCTGCAGTTTGACCGGAACCGGTTGAACCGGCCGGTTGATAAGTCTCGACCGGATCGGACCGGTAACCGGCGTCCGGTCGCCCGGTCCGGTTGCATCTCTGGTAGACACTAGATGGGCTATTTTTACATAGCAAAAAAAGTGGTCTAAAATACGACCGAATAATGATACCGTTTTATGACATAAAAACTAAATAAAAATGACCTTAAACGATCTAAAAATGGGCAATTAATCACCCATTAATGACTCATTTATGAGCCATTTACGAGTCATGTTTCAGCTCGTTTTCATCGTCTTGGGTAGGTATTTTCTCACAAAACAGATTTTCACAAGATTCAGTGTGTTCGATCACCCTTGCTTCACTGATTCTTTCAAAACGCAAATTCTCGTGTTATTTAAAACATAACTGAGATTTTTTGCTTTAGTTTTGTTGATAGTTGTACCATTAAGCAAAGCATGTTCTGACTACACACACAGAGGACCTTATTTGATGAAAAAAATATTTTTAACTTTTTTTTCTTTCATTTTAGTACATGTATTGATTGTATTGACAAAATTAATACTCTAGTTAAACAATCGATATTATCAATTCACTTCACATTTCTTTACAACAATAAAAAAATGGCAAGATGGATTTAAAATAAATTTATTGGAATAAATCAATAGAAAAATGGTGTTTAATTCGTAGAGTTTTAAAAGTTTCAGATTATTTCATTGGGACATATTGAAACAAGATATCTATCTAGATACCGTTTCCTATTCGGTTGTGTTTGATCTGTATATCGAATTGAAAGACTTAAAAACTGGTAAAAATATTCATTAAATGAATAATCAATCAATCATCGGATAATATTATATTCTATCGAATAGAACAGATACGTCTGATATTGAATGTTCGAATCTAACCGCAGTTAAATAAGTTTTCTATTTATTTATTTATTAAAAGCATATATACATATCTACGTGGACGGTAATATTCTAGTGTTTGAAAATTTTAAAACTTAGTTAAAACTAATCGAATAGTTATAAAAATAGCTTGAGATGTGTACCCTAGTGAATATACTTGATTACTTGATGAGTACTTGGAAAGTACATGACAAGTTAAGCACTTAGCAAGTACTTGAGCAAGAACTTGTCAAGCATCGTTACTTGACTTACTTCAGCCAAGTACTTGGACAAGTCAGTCACCCTTTTCTTTTGCGTTAACCGCTGGTATTTGAACACCACAATATCGATCGTTATGCACTTATAAAATAAACTTATATATTTCTATTCAGTTGAATAAACTTAGTAGCCGTGTATGTATTTGCTCTACAAAAGTAGAGTATAGCTCCAGAATATGTGTAAAATACAAAATAAAAATACATGAAACAAGTACTTGACTGAATTTTCAAGTAAATTTACTTGCACTGGGTCGACCAAGTACTTACATTTTACTTGTCAAGTACTTTCTTCAGTAAACTTACTTGGAAAAGTCCACAAATACTGTCCTCATTACTTAACCCAAGTACATGTGCAAGTACTTGGTTCAAGTACATGTGCAAGTACTTGGTTCAAGTACATTCACTAGAGTAGGTTGATATGCTCTATAAAATGGCTAACATGAAAACCCCAAAGTCGATTGAAAATTTCATGGTCTGATTTTATAGAAACCTCACTTGGTTTTCCAGAGGGCTTTAAAAGATTCCAAAAATCTCACCATAGCTCATGATAGTACCCTTGGTGTACTCCAATAATATCGTAGGGCGCGAGAAATTCTCCAAAATGACCGAATCAATGATTTGGGTTCTCACGGGATCATCTACTGCAAAAGAACGAAAGCGGTTGTGTGAATTTGTAGAAAACACTACCGAGTGGTTATGATAGAATTCTTAAGTCTAATTAATGTGTCATTACGGAGTTGTACGTGGTTTACATTGACAGTTTCCTTAGATGCCGGAATTTGTGCGTTTTCGGGCTCTGTGCAAAAATTGAATATCTCAGCAACGCGACAACTTCAAGATCTGCGGTTTTCACCAAAATTCATGAAACTGTTTGCTGTAAAGAAGCCCTTACTATGGAAGAAATGTGAGATGGTCGATTGAGCAGCATTATACGGTAATAGATCGTGGCTTATCTTTAATGGCTCTTATATCCAAAATATATATACGAACCCCGAATGTACGCTGCCGAAGCACAGAATATTATTGTTATTGTTTGCAATAATCAAACTATTTTAGGAAAAACAAAAAAAATTCAATTCGATTATTTATTCTTCATTATTTTTATTTTCTATGTAACTGAACAGTATAAACGTCTAGGATTTGAGTGTGTTCTACCATCAAAATAAAAGTTTTTACAAAAATTTTATTGCCGATGATCTACATTATGGCTCGTTGTCAAACGCGATTATTATCATCCAGATTATTTAAAAACAAAAATTTATAATTAATGATAAACATATTCGTTTACGTTCAATATCGATTATATCAACAATATTGTTAAGATTTGGCGATATTAGCTAGAATAATTTTACTTACGTTAAATCAATCAGTTATTTATTTCCATATTAGACAGATTAAATAAACAAAAAAAGAGAGAAGAAATTTAGGCGTATTGTCCGATAAGTGTGTGTGTTGTGTGCTCTATACCTATGTTTTTATTTTATTATTATTAATCTCTTATTCTCTTTTATTGACGTAAAACAAAAGAAAGAAAAAATAATAACAACAAATAATAATAACGGTGAGAATAATAATAGTATTAAACGTTTTTTGTCATCGTCAAAACTCCTAAAAGAAAAGAAAAAAGAACGTGTACACTATCCAGTATCTCCAGAAGAAAATCAACAAATTTTTATGTATGAAAAACAACAGAAGAAGAATAAAATTAGTTTAATTAAAAATAAACAGGAAGAAGAACAAGATCATTTATTAATAACAAGTCCGGAAATGGACACAATTATCTATGTGGATGAAGAAATAGCAAATGGCCTAAATCATGATAAAAGTTTAACAGGTAATACAGGTGAAAATTTTATCAACGCATACAGGTTAACGTCAAGGTAAGAGATATATAAAAAATATTTTAGTTCATCTAAATTTAGTTCTTGAAGAGTTTGACATTGGTATGTCTCTCAACTGTTTACCTTATCCCAAACAGATACGTAAAGGTTACTCTTAAAAAAGTTAATTATTTCAAAACTCATATATTTTAAGATGCACCCAGGGCAGCCTTGCAGTGAAATTTATTTTTCGACACTTCATACACCATTCGATAGAGAATTTCGCGGTGATCACGAATATCACTTCCAAGGCTCTCAGAACCCTTTCCTCACT